GCTTATATCTTTAAAAATGTCAATAATTAAGAAATGACCTTGTATCTTGAGAATTATTGACATTTTTGAAGATATAAGCTCATCCTGATGTTAGACTCTTCGAGACCTTTCATTTGAGTACCCACATGAATTTTCATATATTTTTCATATATACATATATATAATATATAAAATATATGAAAAATTGATGTGGGTACTCAAATGAAAGCTCTTGATGAGTGTAACATCAAGATGAGCTTATATTTTTGAAAAAGTCAATATTTAAGAAAGTACAGTGCAACTTAACAAAAGTCATTATTTAATAAAGTAAAATTTTATTATTATTATTATTATTATTATATTATTATAAAATTGATTGTTTTTAGAACTGGAATACCATCAGTTAGACCAGTATTGCTAAAAGGATTCAGTGATAAAGGATTTAAATTTTACACTAATTATGAAAGCCGTAAAGGACGTGAACTAGTAAGCTTAATAATAAACATATTATTCTAATTAATTAAATAAATAAATAAATATTAATTAGTTTAATTTCAGGCAGAGAATCCAGTGGCGGCTTTGACATTTTTCTGGGAGCCATTGCGAAGAACTGTGAGTATTTATCAACCACTTTTCTTCTTCTCTACAATTAAATTAAATGCTTGGTTAACTTACTGCTGATGGTTAATTAAGGTTCGCATCGAAGGAGACGTAGAAAAAACTTCCGATGAAGATTCAGACGAATATTTTACCTCTCGACCATTGGCAAGTCAAATTGGAGCACATGCAAGTAAACAGAGCGCGGTTATTGCTGGTAGAGAATCGCTGATGATCAAAGAAAGAGAATTCTTAGCACAATTTTCTGATGGAAAAGTCCCTCGTCCTCCTTGCTGGTAATTTAGATTTAAAAATTTTAATTTTTTTTTCATATTTAAAAAAAAAATTTTTAAATTGATAATTTTTATATTTATAGGGGAGGTTTTATAGTGATACCAAAAACAGTTGAATTTTGGCAAGGACAAAGCGATCGTTTACACGATCGCATAAGATTCCGTCATCCAGGTCCTAATGAAAAAATCGACAACATTGTTGTACATCAGGGAGAGAAAGGCTGGGTATACGATCGACTATCGCCTTAATTTATAATTAATTAACTACCTAACAAGTGCATTTTTTTCTTTTTGCATTTTATTAAAGAAGATTTTAAAATCTCAGCTTCTAGACAATAATCACCAAGTCAATTTTAATATTTCCCTCTGTAACCCTAAAATAAATAAATAAAATATATTTTTTAGACAGAAGATCACAGAAGCTGTAGTTAAAAAATTTAATTTTTAATTTTTTTAATTACCTTGGTCACTTTTCCAAACATTCTCGGCTTTTAATCTATTATCTTGTTTTATCAATTGTTCAAATTCTCTCATATTACCACCGACACCAAAGTAGTAACTTTTACCGGCTACATATCTAAAATTAGAGTAAATATTAATTAGAATTTTATATACCAAATTAGTAATAAATACTTTAATCAAATTTTTTTCTTAAAGGATGTAAAAAATAGAAAAAAATTTTAATTTTCAATTTTTGAATAAAAAAAAATTTTTTTTATAAAAAATACTTGAAATAATTTATCACTTTGTGAATATTAATTAAATTTTGAAACATTGAACAAAATTTTTGTCAAGATTTTTTTTTGCTGATAAATTCTAACCAAGTAAAAAATAATAAATTGCAAATTTTACTACTTTTTATTTAATAAAATTAATTACTTTAATTCAATATTACTAAAATTAATATTTGCTACTTGTTTTTAATAAATAAATTATTGCAGAGAAAATTTATCAAAAAAATATTGAGTTAAATTTTTTTTATTCAACGAAGAAAAAAGACTTTTAGTAATTTTTAAACAAATAATTTTTTTTTTATTCAATAAAAAAAAAATAAAAAATTCACTCTGCCTTTTTTTTGTCATTAAAAGTATAAAAAATTTTTTTAGCGCGCAATTGGTAATTGCTATTGTTATTTATTACAATAACTTACCCAACTCCAGTAGTTTTTAAATGTCTGGTAAATATTTCGTACAATTTACTCTGATTTTCTGTATTGTAAATAGTTTCGCAGGTTAAAATCAAGTCGTACTTTTCATTATTATCTTTGGAGAGCAAATCATTAAAAGATTCCCAGTCTCCAGAGTAAAATTCAACTCTTTTGTTTATATTTTCAGTACTTTGAAAGTTTAATAAAACATTTGGTATTGTTACAAGCTGAATTACTTCACTATTCTACAATTAAATTTAAAAAATAAGCAATTATAAATTCATTAAAATTTTTAATAATTTTTCAAGTCAAAAATAAAAAAGAAAAAAATACAAAAGTTCTTAATTAAAAATTTAAAATAAAATTTTTTTACTTACATAATCTTGAAAGTGAACACATGATCCTTTCATCAAAGCAAAAATACCAACAATTCCTGCTCCACATCCTAAATCCAAAACTTTAAGATTTTTAAAATTAATATTTTGACTGCTTAAATATTTTATTAAATCAAAACTGCACTCCCATATTTTTAAACCACCTGAAAATTAAATAATTATTAATTAATTTACATACACAAATTAAAAAATGAATATTCTACTGTTACATATTTGTTTAAATATATTTGAATAATTAATTATAATTTATTGATTTTAAATAGTATTAATTTTTTTCTTTTTTAATTTTCTAAATTATCATAAAAAAATTTTAATAAAAAAATTACAAGTAGGGTAAATGCACCAGTTGTTGACCGGTCACCAATTAGTTGACCGACGTATAAAAAAGTTAATTAATTAATATTTTACAAGGGTTTTTTTTTTCTTAAAGTATTAAAATAAAAATATATGGCATTTAATCATCATAATAAAGAATAACGCAATTAATTGCGCAGTGATTATAGCTTTAAAAAAATATTCTGAGTTTGTTTACAACGCAACCAGCCATAATGCGGTCAAAAATAATTAGCGTACAATTGGAGAGTGAGTGAATTTTATCATTAATTTAGTGATATTTATCGGCATAATATAAAATATTTTAGTTTTATTATGTTAATTAAAGATCAGATTCCAACTTTTTTGAAAAAATAAAGTTAAATTATAAGTTTTAATATTATTTTAAGACCGGTCAACTATTGGATCCGTCGGAAGCCCTTTACCCAGTAAAAAATTCATTCGGTCATTTATTAGACCCTCTGATTTTATCACAATCCAATTAATCACCGTATAATTATAATACTAACTTCTTAACTCCAAAATTAAATCTGTCAAGTGTTAAAAGTACTTTAGTCATTCAATATTTTGTAAATATAAAAATAATCATTATAAAATGTATATTTATAATTAAAATAATACTTAAAATCTTTTTTGATTATTAAATTTTATTTTGTTCTAGATTTTTTAGTGAACGGTTATATCAAAGAACGAATAATTAGAAGAAAAAATTGCTAAGCAATTAAAAAAATAAAAAAGAGTTACAAGCTAGTGAAAAAGCTTTAATTGAAAAAAAGAAGGAGAAGAATAAAAAAATTTCAAGTCAATCAGAAGAATTATCGTCATCAAAATGAATTTATGATTATTTGTGACCTAAAGAAATGGGACTTTATGTTAATTATTGCTATTATTTATGTTTAGTTTTGTTAAAGATGTCGTTAATACTTAAAAAGTACTGCATATATTTAATTACATACATGTAGTTTACAAAATTATTTATAATTATTTGAGCGGTGAATTAATTGGAGAACGGTCGGTCATTTATTGGGTTTCTTCGGTCAATAATTGGTGATTTTAGTATTTCAATATTCAAATAACAAAATTAATATAATTTTGTTAATTTTTATTACAAATAGTTATTAATTATTATTAATTAAGTATTTAACTTTAATAAAATCCATTACAAATTGTTTTTAGTAGGTTAATAGATTTTTTATAGCTTAGTACAGAAAAAGAAAACCTTAATCGGTCAATAATTAGTGCATTTACCCTACAAATCACTTAAAAATATTTTTTATTTAAAATAAAAATTAAAAAAAAATGTCAGCTGATTTTAGTATCATTAAAAATTATTGTAAATTTATTAAAAATAAATAAGTAATAAATTTATGTAAATTACCTTCATAGACTGCAGGAAGTAAATCAGAATGTTCTGACTCGGCTTGGATGATATTTTCATATTTGTTACTGAGATTCACAACAAGATTATCAACATTGATGATTTTTAGATTTAAATCTTCGGTTATTTGTAAAGATAAACAATCTTTATCAGAAGGGGGAGTTTTTTCAGTGACAGGTATTCGTGTAGCAGGAAACCAGGATACTTTACTCTCTAGTTTATCTTCTAAAAAATATAAATAAAATTAAAGACACTAAAGTTTACAGAAATAAAAAATTTTTTTAAATTTTATTGCAATTAAATTTTTATGAGAAAAAAATTAATAAAAAAATTCCATCGAAAAATTATAAGTGCAATTTTTAATAAAATATTTTTTACTTATAATTTAATTAATTTCTTTTTGAAATAACAATTAATAACATCGGATAATTTTTATAAGCGCTATAAGACTTAACCTATAAATACAAATATTTATTTTTTAAAAATTGTTAATAATTACCTGTTTGATTTGTATCATCAGAAAAATTAAACTTAAACATAATTATTATATATTTTATTGAATATTAAAAAAAAAAATATTTAAAGTAATTATGTAGTGGTTAATATAATAAAAATTATGTTGACAGGTCTGCACATGTGCGCATGTATATATCAACTACTTATTTGAATATCTAATCACCAAAAATTCTTATGAACTTTGAGATAAGTATTTTTGTTAATGTTGTAAGTACATAATTAAATAATAAATTAATTAAATTATAATTTTTGAAATTATTTTATTTTTTATTTTTATTTTTATTGAAATAAATTTTCTATAAATTAAGTTTAGGAAAAAAGGAAACAATCACAATTAAATAATGCTATAAAAATTCTTTTTTTATTTATTACAAATTATGCAATAATAATTAAGAAAATATTCACATTAATTTCTTCATTTATGAATAATAGTTTATTATATTTTTTTTTTTCTTTATAATTATCAGCTATCAGAAGAAGAAGAATTTTTTTGTAATGTGAAGATGTGGAGCAGCTCACTAATCATGATTCTGCAGAATTTAAAAAATCTGACATATCTCTCCTGCGTTTTAGAATATCTTCCAAAGTTATCTGGAAAATAAAAAGAAGAAATGAATAACTTGAAATAAAACAATCTTGAATTTTTTCACATATTTCATATATATGATGTTTGTCATATATATATAAAATATATGAAAAGTGCATGTGGGTACTTAAATGAAAAGTCTTGATGAGTGTAACATCAAAATGAGCTTATATCGTTAAAAACATCATTAGTTAACAAAATACAATAGTCATTCCGTAATTTTTAACATTTTTGTGGATATAAGTACATTCTGATGTTATACTCATCGAGACCTTTCATTTGAGTACCCACATGAATTTTTTTATATATTTTATATATATATGGTATTTGTGAAATATATAAATATATAAAATATATGAAAAATTGATGTGGGTACTCAAATGAAAGGTCTTGATGAGTGTAACATCAAGATGAGCTTATATCATTAAAAATGTCAATATTT